GTGTGTGTAGTGTGTGTGTTGTGTAGAGTGTGTGTGTGTGTGTGTAGAGTGAGTAGGTGTGTAGGTGTGTTGTGTAGTGTGTGTGTAGGTGTGTTGTGTAGTGTGTTGTGTAGTGTGTGTGTGTAGGTGTGTTGTGTAGTGTGTGTGTAGGTGTGTGTAGGTGTGTTGTGTAGTGTGTGTGTAGGTGTGTGTGTGTGTTGTGTAGAGTGTGTGTGTGTAGAGTGTGTAGGTGTGTTGTGTAGTGTGTGTGCGTAGGTGTGTGTGTGGTGTAGTGTGTTGTGTAGGGTGTGTGCGTAGGTGTGTGTGGTGTGTGTGTGTAGAGTGTGTAAGTGTGTGTGTGGTGTGTGTGTGTGATGAGTCTGTGGGTCTCTGTATGATGAGTCGGTGGGTCTCTGTGTGGTGGTGAGTCTATGGGTATCTGTGTGGTGATGAGTCTATGGGTCTCTGTGTGGTGAGTCTATGGGTCTCTGTGTGGTGAGTCTGTGGGTCTATGTGTGGTGAGTCTGTGGGTCTCTCTGTGGTGAGCCTGTAGGTCTCTGAGTGGTGAGTCTATGGGTCTCTGTGTGGTGAGTCTGTGGGTCTCTGTGTGGTGAGTCTATGGGTCTCTGTGTGGTGCGTCTATGGGTCTCTGTGTGGTGAGTCTGTGGGTCTCTGTGTGGTGAGTCTGTGGGTCTCTGTGTGGTGAGCCTGTAGGTCTCTGAGTGGTGAGTCTATGGGTCTCTGTGTGGTGAGTCTGTGGGTCTCTGTGTGGTGAGTCTATGGGTCTCTGTGTGGTGAGTCTGTGGGTCTCTCTGTGGTGAGCTTGTAGGTCTCTAAGTGGTGAGTCTGTGGGTCTCTGTGTGGTGAGTCTGTGGGTCTCTGTGTGGTGAGCCTGTAGGTCTCCGAGTGGTGAGTCTATGGGTCTCTGTGTGGTGAGTCTGTGGGTCTCTGTGTGGTGAGTCTATGGGTCTATGTGTGGTGAGTCTATGGGTCTCTGTGTGGTGAGTCTGTGGGTCTCTATGTGGTGAGTCTGTGGGCCTCTGTATGATGGGTCTGTGGGTCTCTATGAGTCTCTATGAGTCTCTGTGTGGTGAGTCTATGGGTCTCTGTGTGGTGAGTCTGTGGGTCTCTGTGTGGTGAGTCTGTGGGTCTCTGTGTGGTGGTGAGTCTATGGGTCTCTGTGTGGTGAGTCTATGGGTCTCTGTGTGGTCAGTCTATGGGTCTCTGTGTGGTGAGTCTGTGGGTCCCTCTGTGGTGAGCCTGTAGGTCTCTGAGTGGTGAGTCTATGGGTCTCTGTGTGGTGAGTCTGTGGGTCTCTGTGTGGTGAGTCTATGGGTCTCTGTGTGGTCAGTCTATGGGTCTCTGTAGTGGTGAGTCTATGGGTCTCTGTGTGGTGAGTCTGTGGGTCTCTGTGTGGTGAGTCTATGGGTCTCTGTGTGGTGAGTCTATGGGTCTCTGTGTGGTCAGTCTATGGGTCTCTGTGTGGTGAGTCTATGGGTCTCTGTGTGGTGAGTCTGTGGGTCTCTGTGTGGTGAGTCTGTGGGTCTCTATGAGGCTCTATGAGTCTCTATGAGTCTCTGTGTGGTGAGCCTGTAGGTCTCTCTGTGGTGAGCCTGTGGGTCTCTGTATGATGGGTCTGTGGGTCTCTATGCGTCTCTATGAGTCTCTATGAGTCTCTGTGTGGTGAGCCTGTAGGTCTGTGTGTGGTGAGCCTATGGGTCTCCGTATGATGGGTCTGTGGGTCTCTGTGTGGTGAGTCTGTGGGTCTCTGTGTGGTGAGTCTATGGGTCTCTGAGTGGTGAGTCTATGGGTCTCTGTATGATGGGTCTGTGGGTCTCTATGAGTCTCTATGAGTCTCTATGAGTCTCTGTGTGGTGAGTCTATGGGTCTCTGTGTGGTGAGTCTGTGGGTCTCTGTGTGGTGAGTCTGTGGGTCTCTGTGTGGTGAGTCTATGGGTCTCTGTGTGGTGAGTCTGTGGGTCTCTGTGTGGTGAGTCTGTGGGTCTCTGTGTGGTGAGTCTGTGGGTCTCTGTGTGGTGAGCCTGTAGGTCTCTGTGTGGTGAGTCTATGGGTCTCTGTATGATGGGTCTGTGGGTCTCTATGAGTCTCTATGGGTCTCTGTGTGGTGAGTCTATGGGTCTCTCTGTGGTGAGTCTGTGGGTCTCTCTGTGTGGTGAGTGTGTGGGTCTCTCTGTGGTGAGCCTGTAGGTCTCTGAGTGGTGAGTCTATGGGTCTCTGTGTGGTGGTGAGTCTATGGGTCTCTGTGTGGTGGTGAGTCTATGGGTCTCTGTATGATGGGTCTGTGGGTCTCTATGAGTCTCTATGAGTCTCTGTGTGGTGAGACTGTGGGTCTCTCTGTGGTGAGCCTGTGGGTCTCTGTATGATGGGTCTGTGGGTCTCTATGAGTCTCTATGAGTCTCTGTGTGGTGAGTCTATGGGTCTCTCTGTGGTGAGTCTGTGGGTCTCTGTGTGGTGAGTTTGTGGGTCTCTCTGTGGTGAGCCTGTAGGTCTGTGTGTGATGA